ATACTCTCCAGGTTATGAGGCTAAAATTCTAGCTACTACTTAAGTAGTGTCCATATTTTTTTCTTGTTAAACCGTACGAGGCTGATACTTTCTGTTTCTTTGGCAAACTACGCATATATATACGTGTCAGCGTGTTGCCGGCTCCAAGATCGCTATCCTTGTAGGGAAATAACAAGTTAAAGGATTTATTTGTGGAGTAATCTCTGCTCCGTCCAATATCTCTACCAATAAATCCGCTCTAGATTTTAAGGCCGAGTCAATCACTCATAGTAAGGTCGGCTTGACCTAACTTCACTCTCATATCAGTACGTTTGCATTCTATTCTAAAGATCGGATCTATTTTAAATACTTTGCGAGGATGGTTGTAGGAAAAGAGGTACACTTGCAAAGACTTGCCTATCGAAACGGGATCCCACATACAGCTGAGATGTTAGAAGCAAACGGAAAGATCAACGATGAGGAAGAGAAACGCACGCCCGGTGAGACGAAAGGCGGGGAGGAGGATCGGAATTCTCGCTCGAAAGGGTTTACCCATCAGGATTACGCTATTGCCTGGATTTGCGCACTGCCTAAGGAACAAACCGCCGCAATAGCCATGCTGGACGAGGAACACCCGAAGCTACGCTATCCACGAAACGACAATAATATTTATACCTTGGGGTCTATTAGAGGACACAATGTCGTCATAACTTGTCTTCCTAAAGGCGAGATTGGGACTACATCAGCAGCGAGTGTTGTTACTAGATTGATTAGCACCTTTCCATTTATTAAGTTCGGGTTGATGGTTGGTATTGGGGGTGGCATTCCACCGGTTAGGCTTGGCGATGTCGTGGTCAGCGTACCTGCCGGAGAGTTTCCTGGAGTCGTTCAGTGGGACCTAGGCAAGGTAGAAGGCGAAAGGTTTAAACGGACAGGCTGGCTAGATCGCCCCCCCAAGGCGCTGCTAACGGTGCTGACAGAACTGGAAACCAGCCATGATATGAAGGGATCTAAGATACCTCAGTATCTACAAGATATGGAAGTCAGATGGCCAAAGCTGGTCCCAAAGTATACTCGGCGCGATTTCCTCCAGGACCCTCTGTTCTTACCCAGCGAGTCCCATTCCACTCCAAATCGACGGGAAGTATCCTCCGTTTTCTGGGGAGCAATACTGGCTTTGCTTCAGTTCCTCTTCGCCTGGTGGGCATTTCTTCCTATGGAACAAGGGCCCGCAGCGCCTGGGGAAACGGCCAACACCACACAGAGCGACGCGGCTACCGAAGGCCGACGCAAATCTAACGAGACGCGTATTCACTACGGCCTAATCGCTTCAGGTAATAAAGTTGTCAAAGATGCCGAGCTCCGGGATTTGATTAATACGAGCCTTGGTGGTAAAGTTCTCTGTGTTGAAATGGAAGCAGCTGGATTGATGAATAACTTTCCGTGTATTGTGATTCGAGGGATTTGCGACTATGCAGACTCGAACAAGAACGATGACTGGCAAGAATATGCCGCAACTGTGGCAGCAGCATTTGGAAAGGAGCTTTTGGATCATGTACAGACATATGACATCGACGAAGAGCGCGCCGCGAAAGAAATACTTGGTGAAGGTTCGTTACTCTTTCCTATTGTGTCGAGCTGCCAGAAGGTCCTAATATTATGTATAGTCCGTAGCATTGGAGCAGATATTGTAGAAATAAAGTCTATCTTGCGTAAGGATGAGGAAATGGAGATCCTCAATCGGCTCCCATCAATAGATTACAGCACTCAGCACGCAGACTATTTCAGTAGACGACAAGCCGGCACTGGCCAATGGTTTCTAGACTCGGAGGAGTATAACGGTTGGTTGGGCACTAGCAATACGACGTTATTCTGTCCAGGCATCCCGGGGGCGGGGAAAACAATCATCACGGCCATCGTAATCAACGATCTTCATGTACGATTTCAAAATGATCCAAATGTCGGAATAGCGTATATCTACTGTGACTTCCGAAAGCAAGGCGACCAAAAGTTAGAAGGTTTGCTCGCCAGTCTTCTAAAGCAGCTAGCCCAAAACCTATCGGCGCCACCGGCCGTCGTCGATAATTTCTTTAAGACACATCAAAACCTACAGCCATCGCTTGACCAAATCTCTAAAGCTCTTCAGTCTGTTATCACGATATATTACAAAACTTTCATTATTATCGACGCCCTTGACGAATGCCAAACGTCCGATGGTTGCCGGCAACGCCTTTTATCAGAGATCTTTAAGCTGCAGACCGAGACAAAAGCCAACCTATACGCGACTTCGAGATTCATCCCAGATATCAGTGAAAGGTTTGAGGGCTGTCTCTCACGTGTGATTGTCGCTAGCGACGAGGATGTGCGAAGATATCTAAGAGGCAACCTCCACCAGCTGCCGAAATCGGTCTCAAAAAGACCAGACTTGCAAGAGACAATAATTAACGACATAGCAGTATCTGCGAAGGGAATGTAAGTTAGGCTTTTTAGTAACCCTTGAAATATTGGGGCTACCCGGCTAACAACATCTAGGTTCCTTCTCCCGCAACTCTACTTCCGATTGCTTGAAGATAAGACCTCACAGAATGACATAAAGTCCACACTAGAGGAGCTCCAGCAGCAAGTTTCCCAGGCTACAATCGAAGATGGGAAGCTTGGGGCGTTAGCTATAGCATATGATCAAACGGTAGAGAGGATCAAGAGGCAAGGGGCAGGTTTCCAAAGGCTTGCAGAGAAGGCTCTATCTTGGATCGTATGCGCAAAACGGCCGCTTACCACGTTGGAACTCCAGCATGCTCTCGCAGTGAAGGTTGGCGCGACCGAATTTGATAGAGGGGATATCTCAGAGATCGAAGACGTTCTGCTCGCGTGTGCTGGGTTAGTGACGGTCGATATGAAAAGTAGTATCGTCCGGCTAGTTCACTATACGGCGCAGGAATACTTTAATGGAAAACAGAAATATTTGTTTCCGAACGCGCAGGATGATATAACAAGAGTTTGCGCTACCTATCTCTCATTCAATATCTTCGGAAGCGGATTTTGTCGAACTTTCGAAGAATATGAGCGGCGACTGGAGTCGAATCCGCTGTACGACTACGTGGCACGAAATTGGGGATACCATGCGCGCGAGACTTCGACTTTACACCAGGAAATCCAGCATTTTTCGGAATGCGAGCAAAAAGTAGAGGCGGCAAGCCAAGTACTAATGATTCGTCCCGATATGCGCGAATACTTTGTGAAAATCTTACTTTCACTGCAGCACCCCCCGCGCATGACTAGAGTTCACTTAGCGGCATATTTCGGACTAGAGAAATCGATTGATACATGGCTTTCGACCGGGGATGCACCGGATTCTCTTGATCGCGACTCCTATACTCCTCTATGTTACGCTGCCCAGCATGGCCATGACAGAATCGTCAAAATGCTTCTTGATACGGGCAGGATAAGCTTCGGATGCGGCAGCAGAGATCATCTGTCGTTAAATTTGGCCGCAGGATACGGACACGAGACTGTGGTAAGACTGTTGATTGGGCAACATGGTATCGACCCAAATCATAGGGACTCTCGGGGCGATGCGCCACTGTTTAATGCCATACAAGGGGGATACAAGTCAGTCGTTGAACTACTGCTTACAGCAGAAAACATTGATATAAATTGCAAGAACTTGTTGGATTTTACACCGCTGTTTTATGCTATAAAGCATGACCACGAAGAGATCATTGAGATGCTGCTTGAAACAAAAGACATTGACCTAAATCGCAAGACCCGTTTTAGGTCTCGTCAAACGCCTCTGCTGTTCGCCTTGCGGGAGGGGCACCCGGTGGCCGCCAAGCTCCTGCTTGCAACAAAAAAGATTGATCCGAATTGCAAAGATGGTGAAGGTTATACACCACTTTTACATGCCGCAGAAAAAGGATACCAGGCGGTTGTCGAGCTGCTACTTGGGGCGAAAAACGTTGATGTAAACTGCGAAAACTACGAAGGTTATACGCCGCTCCTCTATGCCGTGCTTATGGGGCGCAGAGCGATCGTTAAGCTGCTACTTACAAGAGAGGACATTAATATGAACTGCAGAGACCGCAGAGGTTATACACCGCTGTTGCTTGCGGCATCCTGTGAGCATGAAGTCATAGTGAAATTGCTGCTCGCGAAGAACCGTGCGGATATGATTCCTGAGGACTCGTATATCCCTGAACTATTAGATGCAGCTGTGAGGGACAGGAAAACAGGAATACTAAAACTACTTGCTATGGATGGAGATTCGGATTCAAGGGATATCAGTACCCAGTCTAAGACGCTGTCGCGGCACGACGCGGAGAAGGTGGTACGGATATTTGTGGAGAAAGGATGGTGGTCTAAGGAGAAGGCGCTGCTGTGGGCGGCTGAGAGTGGGCACTTGGAGGCGGTGCGAGTGCTTCTAGAAATGGGGGCATCTGTCAACACGTGGCAGGTGACGACACGCAACGAGGGGGATATTCAGAATCACTATTCTAGAAGGGATGAGATGATGCCGCTTCATTTAGCAGCCATGGGAGGGCACAAAGAAGTTGTAGATCTACTGTTAGACTAGGGTGCCAACATCAACGAGCTCTCAACGACAGTCATAAGGCTCACCTGGCCGGACAGAGAAAGGGGATATGGCTACGAGAATGCCGGATCCTCCGAAACGACAATCAAGATCAAACGTACAGCCCTTCAACTAGTAAAATGCTATTTAGAACTCGAAAGTGATAGGCCAGTGGTAGCATTACTTCTAGAGCGGGGAGCTAGCGAGGCCGAGGCTGAGGTTTTAATGTCACCAGAAATATAAATGCGTATCGATACCAATTGATATCAATCCAGCTACGCTTGGTCTTGGCTGGTCTCGCGCATACTAGCTTGCATGAATGACTACTCTTCCCGACAGTTAACCTGTTAATTAAAGTATAGTATACATACACATCCACGTATACTCTTCATATCAAGGACGGCTGACGCAAGTAGGTTCGACTAGCCTTCTGGATTCCAGCCCGCACACAGTCGGTGAGATGGCCGAGTTGGTCTATGGCGCCAGGTTAAGGTTATACCTTAACAAGTGACATCCTGGTACGGGTAACCGTGCGTGGGTTCGAATCCCACTCTCATCACTATGTTTTTGCTTCGTGAAAATTTTTTTCGTTGTCGGTGGCGTCGGTGTAGATAGTTTGGGAAGGTGGTGTTGTATTTTCTTTCCTGATTGGTGTTGTGGTGGAAAACTATTTTAGCGTTGATAATTAGGATCGTCATCATATCGCAGATTTGGTTATGTTGTGTTATAGTGTATTTTCTAGTGATAGAAATAACCCGAAAGGATATCAAATATTGTGCGTTCTGGAATCATATTACACCAAGTGTTTTGCTTCGTTGGGGGTCGTTTGCAAGAATCGTAGGTCTCGCTCTTCAGTCCCAAAGTCTTACCGAAATATTTATATGTGCGCAGCCACCGTATCCATCAGGGCGTTTTATCCAGTCTATATAGTGCAACGCTTACCTAGAATGCTCTGGCGAAGTCAAAAGAAGGTAAGAAACCGTGGGCAATTGTTACGAATCTATGAAATTAATTCGATTGGAAAGTCGCAACTGCACAATGTATGGGAAGTGCGAACTTGATACGGTCCGTAATTTTTGTGAGGAGATGAAGATCAAGAATGGAGGTCTGATTCCTCCCCGTCATGGGGACACGTTGAGGCTAGTCTACGAGACCAAGTGTTATGGTTAATCCGTTTATCTTCCGTTAAAAGGTCAAATGGAACTGGTTAGAATCGTCTGCGTTCGCCTAGAACATATTACAACTACAGTTTTCTATAGCTTCAGGACACTCGGGAATTCCACAAATTTAAACCTAACGTTACTCCTAACATACTAGATAGATGTTTGAAAGGATTTAGGTCCGATAAAAGAGTACATATAGCCACATTGGGTGGTCCAGCAAGGTTAGGGGTCGACTGGTGAACCTATACCTTTGGATACTATCTAGAGATTTTAGGCCTAGCGAATGCACGGAGTCCTTTATATTGACTTTGAGATTAGATGTCTAGTAGTACTAGTAGCCGAGTGGACCAAACACCTACCCCGACCTGGGTTCGTCCCCGTCGCCGTTTGGTAGCGGTATCATCGCTCTTAAGAGAAGTCTCCGGTTCAATCCCTCCTATTGGTACACTTTTTTTTTTTTGGATTCTTTGATCGTGTCTATGCCGAGCATTGGGTTATCTCGTTGTGAAATGGCTATATAGCTATGGCAAGGTGTGTGCGGCCTTGGTGTAGGAGCCTCTATAGCACTTCTATAATTGTTCTAAATTATAATTCCTGAACCCTCATAGACTAGTTGGTCGACTTGAAGAGATGTCGGATCTCTTTTGTGACTTCTCGCATATATACCCCTACTGCAGTCTTTCTGGTAAAAGCAAAGATCCAAGCCATAGCCCCTAAACAAACGAAATCATGCAAAGGGGTCTGTGGGCTGTCCATAAAATATACACAAGGTCTGTAGACTCCATAAAACAGGAGAATATCTGAGCGAAACCTTAAACAGGCTACTTTCTCGGTATACTTCACGAAGGGAGGCAAGGTCAAGACGTAGTTAAATATCAGAATGAGTATCTCAGCCACATGGTCACTCCATTGCGGACCTCTGGGCTTGATTCGGTATCCTGCATTCAGAATAACGTAAATCTCTCAAATCGATATATATAATTACTCAGTATGAAGCATCAATCTTGCTAAATATATGAAGTTTAATTCGAAAATAATGTGGAGATACGCGCTGAAAAATCTTAGGTCGGTCGGTTGATAATTCATGGAGGTCGAAGGTTAGTTCTCCTGTTGCATGGTGTCATAGAGATGCCTAAACTTGATACACATGACTCTCGGTCGACCACGGGGAGGCTTAGATGGCTATCGATATATCCGCCATACGTATGTTCTATAATTTCAGATCAGAAAGATAGTAGAGTATTATATACAACTTCTCCCCAACCCTCTAGCCTCCATTCCCTTCATAGCCATATAATAGTATTTACATTTCCTCTTACCCCATACCGTCGATCATTAAACCCACACCCCAGTCCAAACCACACCTCCCTACTTTTGATTCCTTTCCTCCTCTTCAACCCTCTCCCTAACCTTCCCCTCCAGATACTCCGTCAACCCCAAAATCCCATCCCCAGTAACCAACCTATAACTCTCACACTCCACAAACCCACCAACCAATTTCCCATCTCCATTAACCTGCAAACTTCCCAAAATATCTTGACTCTCTGGAATCCTCATCCCACCATAATACGGCGTTCGTCGGTCTACCACATGATGAAATCCTCCGATAGCTGTAGTATCAACTTTACTTTCTCCACCTTCACTACTACTGTTACTGCTAGTAGTAGTAGGAGTACCAGTAGACTCAGTATGTAACTTCCTATCCCTTTTCATCCCTTTCGCTACAGATTCTTTTACACCCATCGCTGCACCCCAAGTTGCATAGGCCTCATTGATGAGGTCTGGATCCTTTGAAGCGTGTTTGGATAGTGTGTCCATGAGGAGTTTTCGGAAGTTTGGGTTTTCGGTGAAGGTTGATGGGGTGGGTGGGATGGCTGTGGTGGTTCCTATTGCTAGGGTTGGGGATGGAGGGGTTGTGGGGAGGTAGGTGAGGGTGTAGGTTGGTGGAGTGGTTGGGGAGGGGTGGATATACTACTATATGTGTTAACTTTTTGGTCTTATGGGGGGTGTGGGTATGATGTATGCATATGCATGGGGGGTACTGACGATATGCTTGTTCTGTTCAAGAGTTTTTAGACTTCGGGAGGGAGTGCGGGTAGTAATGAAACCCGTCGACCTCGAGGATCGTTGGAAGACGGGGCCAGCCCGCCGTAATAAGGTAGGAAGCGTCATCGTGGAAGATTGAGATGTATCGAGCTCTGGAGAGTCCCTCGGACGTCGACGGCCTGGTGTTCGAGGAGTCGGATTTCTCGCCTGACGTCAAAATTTCTCAACACATTTTTCTGAGTTACACAGGTTCAAAATAACACACAGCATGAACCTGTGGACTTAAGCGAGTGAACTTCACGCGGTTAAGCCCTCGAGCTAGAGGTCTACATGAGTCTATATGGATGGCCTACGTATTTATGAGTATCTCTCTTTATGTATATGTAGGGATGGAGCTGAGATTGATATTTGCTTCGCTAATAAAACTAAAGATAGATTTCCCTTTCGATTCCGAAAAACACACAGGGTATATCATGCTTTCCCCGTACGCATTTCAGTCACGACAGGAGAAACGATCGATCTAGTATCCGCCGTGCATTAATATTAAAAGGAAAGTTAATTAAAAGCCCCTTGATCCTTCGTATAGCCCGTTGTTCTCGTCTTGCGTTATAGGCCAAGCAGCACCCTCTTCACGGAGTGCCAGTAACAGACTATTGCCTGTTCGACATACTAAAAATAATACAAGGAAAAAACTGCCCAAAGTCGGGAGACGCGTAACCTACCAACCGCCGCCAGATGAGACTTCAGGTTCGTCGTTCTTCCAAAGCTGTTGGGTAGTATCGACGGGAGCGCTGCCGTAGTCAGCACCACCGCCAGAAGTAGCGTTGAATCCGTCATCACCGCCGGCTCCCTTGTTAGTGCAATTCTTAGACCAATGGCCCATTTCACTGTTGGATAGTATAGATTAGTCATCTTGATTTGCGGGATGGAAGGCTATATAATTCAGTTTACACTTACCCACACTCGTTGCACTTGACACGGTTCATGTCCCTCGGTTTCGGACACTCCCTAGCGCTGTGACCCACTATTGATTGATACATTAGCAACTACAATAAACGATGGAATATAAAAGGATTAACCTACTCTCATCGCAGTTGCGACATTTCATTCGTGCTGGGTCTCTAGGCTTGGGACAGTCACGTCCAACGTGCCCCTCCTCGTCACAGTTGTTGCAAATGATCTTGCGAGGATTGGGGCAGTCAACACGTCTATGTCCTTCCTCTCCGCAGTTGTTGCAAGTCATGCCCTTCTTTGGCTCAGGGCACTCAGCAGCGCGATGACCCTTTCATATATGTTAATAAAGCTGTCAAGACACGATAGGAGAAGAAACTTACCTCCTGATCACAGTTACGGCAAGTCATTTTGGGAGCGTCAGGGCAATCCTTAGAGAAATGACCAGTCTTTTCACACTTGCGGCATTGGACATTAGTAGCATCACGAGGCTTCTCGCATTCTTTCGCTTCGTGACCTTCCTCGCCACAGTTTCGGCAGGCATTCGGGTTTCTGCGCTGTTTACGTTCCTCAGGGCCTTTGAGGTTATCAGTATTGGTTATTGTGCGGGAACGACAAGGAAAGAGACGAAACTTACAATCACGTGCACGATGACCTTCTTGATCGCAATTGACGCATTTGACAGTCGGGATTTCAGTGGGATCCCTAACCTGGCGTTCTTGAGTGCACCCTCGGGTGGTATGACCTTGTTCTATGGGACCATTCAGTGTTAGAGTTGTTTCTTTGGCAAGATGGAGTCAAGTCACAGAAACTCACCCTTGCAGTTGGAGCAATACGGGACATAGGACTCTTGGACGAATCCAGCATCTTCCAAACGAGTCAAATTGTCCGAATCATCTACTGGGAACCTTTCAGGATCTTTGACGGCGCCTTTGGTTCGTCGGCCTTTGAGAGATGTCTGGAAAGTGACAACAAATTTTTTGTTCATGTTGCCTTGGAGGTCGACGATAACTTGGGTGGGTGTGATCTCTTTCTTCTGTAGTAGCCGAAGCAGTTAGCCGGTTCTTCAGATGGATCAGGACGGGAGGGACATTAGCCACTTACGATGGCAACCAAATTGAAAACGAACTTTCCCTCCTCCTTGAAGGCATTCTGGAGGGTTGGGAAGGTGGAATCTGGACACAAAGCAATGTACTTGAAGAAAGCCTAAAGGTGATTATTAGCTAAAAGGTTGATATCGTAGTAGTGATGAAAGAGTAGGGAGGTCAGATACTCACATCCTTGAATGCGTCAAGGTCCTTGTCTTTTCCAGCTTGATCCATAGCGTTCCAGCAGCCCTCAATCTTCTGGTCCTTGTCTTCAATTTCACCTTCAGGTGCAGGCTCGCCGAACTGCATCT